TTTTGACGATAAGCAAGGCAAAATGGGCTGGAATGTCAGCCAAGCCGGTGGGGGTATTCTTCTGGTTTCTCAATTCACCTTGATGGCGCAAACCCAAAAAGGCTTACGTCCTGATTTTGGACCAGCCATGCCACCGAATGATGCTCAAGCCTTATACGAACAACTGGTTGACTATGCTAAGACCCAGTTTGAGCATGTGCAAACCGGTATTTTTGCTGCCGACATGAAAGTACATTTGGTCAATGATGGACCCGTGACTTTCAATTTAGAAGTCGAATAAAAAACACCATGCATAAAAAAGCCCTCGATAGAGGGCTTTTTCGATTTCATCGCGCTCAATCTCCCTTTTATAAAGGAGACGGAATCGAGAGGTTTAAAAAATCTTTTTACTTACCGGTTTTTTCTTTCAAAAACGCGCGAGCGGCTTTAATTTTTGCTTTCACAGGCTTTGGTAGCTTTGGTGGAACCAATTTTGCAACTTGGTTAAACCAAACCAAGAGACCAAAATCACCTTCCATTTTAATGCTGCCGTTTTGCATGCCCGTCATAAATGCGGTTGGGTCACCTTTGATTAAAGTTTTCACACCCTGCTCACTGTCCGCAAACTGTAAAATAAAATCGGCTTTTTCAGCATCACCTGAAACGGTATCAATCTGACCATTATTCACAATAATTTGGCGTGCCATACCCAGATCCGTACCAATTTGAATACGGAACTGACGTTCATGAACTAATTCAATAAATTTTGGACTGGTACGCGCCAGCTGTTTCATACGAAGTGCCAAACCAGTAACCATTAAATCCAGCGGATCCGTGCTGACATCAACCAATGGAAGTTTAACCACAGGAATTGAAGATAGTTTCATGACATGAAAGCCTATTGTAATTGTTGATAAATTGACTGTTTTCAATGCTACCACAAGTTGCCATTTTTACCGCTAGGCTTTGTATAACAATCATGTAAGAACGTAAAAAAGATGCACAGGGCATCTTCTTTTACGGTATGAGGTTATGACTTAGCGGCTAGAACACTGCTGTTGGTCATCTTCATATACAGGTGTATGTTCAATACAACGGCGCTGCGCCAGTGCACGTTCTGCGCGACGGTCTTCACGTAGAAGCAACATCGTCACAATAAGCATCGCTGAAGTTAAAGCAGTTAAGTAGCTATAAGTGATCGGCATTTCAAACACTGCTTGCACACCTAGGCGAATGACTTCCAATATTCCCCAAAACACCATACCCGCCACCATAAAACTCAACCAGCGACGATAAGGCGAAAAGAAAACAGCAATCAACGCAGCGGCGACTAAACTTAAGCCAACGATGGTTGCTAAATTCGCTGTTACCATAAAAACCTCCGTCTAAGATAAATTCAGGCGACTGATACACTGTGCTGAACTCATCCCCGATACCGTTTAAAATTAATGGATTGTGTAGCTTTCAAACTCTATGCATGCATTATGAGCAGTTTTGAAAAGAAAAAAAGGCTTGTATTTTTAGAATGCGACATACCTTGTCGCCATATTATATTGTCATTACATTTTTTTAGATTTGAACTTTTCCAAAACAAAGACGCGCTCAGTCTTGGCGTGTCATTACAAAATAAAACCCGTATTTTCAGCGCTTAAAAATATTTTTTCCAATTCTGTTGATCGTTGTTTTTATAGACATTTTTAACTTACCGCTCATCGTTTTTCGCTTAAATTTGCAACAAAAAAACGCAGCTCAAAGGCTGCGTTTTTGATAACACCGAGATGCTTTAAGCACGATTTAAATCTTTATCGTGCACACCCAATAAATACAACACCCCATCTAAGCCGACACTTGAAATGGCTTGATTGGCGTTTTGTCTCACCAGCGGTTTCGCACGGAAAGCTACACCTAAGCCAGCAATCGACAGCATCGGTAAATCGTTCGCACCATCGCCCACCGCAATCGCTTGCTCAAGAGAAATGCCCATCTTATCGGCTAACTCACGTAATAATAATGCCTTACGTGCACCATCGACGATGTGACCTTTAACTTCGCCCGTCACCACCCCATTTTCAACGTCTAAGACATTGGCATGGACTTCATCAATACCAAGTTTGGCTTGTAGATACTCTGCAAAGTACTGAAAACCACCCGACAGGATAGCCGTGCGGTAACCTAATGCTTTTAAAGTTGAAATTAAGCGTTCAGCACCTTCTGTAACGGTCAGACGTTCTGCAATTTTAGGTAGGACAGAGGCATCCATCCCTTTGAGCAGTGCGACACGTGCACGAAAGCTTTGTTGGAAATCTAGCTCACCCTGCATTGCACGTTCCGTGATTTCAGCGACTTGTGCGCCGACACCCGCTTCAATCGCCAACTCATCAATCACTTCTTGCTCAATTAAGGTCGAGTCCATGTCAAAACACACCAAACGGCGGTTACGACGGTAGGCATTGTCTTCTTGTACCGCCACATCGACATTCAGTTCATGTGACAAACGTAAACAGGCTGCACGCATGGCTGCGGCATCCAGCATTTGACCACTTAAACCGAATTGAACACAGGCGCGTTTCGGCCCATCGACTTCGCCATTTAAGACTGGACGACCTGACAAACGGGTCACGGTTTCGATGTTGAAACCTTGGTTAGACACAATATTTGTAACTGCTTGTAAGTGAGATGCCTCAAGCTCTGGCGCCAAAGCCGTGACGATATAACGCGTCCGTCCACCTTCGCTCACCCACTGGTCATATTCAGTTGTAGTGATTGGTTTAAAACGTACAGTTAAACCAATATCATGTGCTAAAATTAGAATTTCCTTCATCGCCAAAGCTGTTGCGGTTTGGTCGTCTGAAGAAATAACAATACCTAAGGTCAATTGGTTATGAATAACTGCTTGTCCGACATCTAAAATTTGTAATGAATGAGTGGACAAAACCTGCATTAATCGAGTGAACTGATTAGGTTGGTCTGGTCCTAAAAATGAAATAAGAATGATTTCTCGCATGAATTGACTCGGGTCTGAGCTACGACTATTGTTAGAATCATAATCGAAATTGAATATATTTTCTTTGGAAGTTTACGTTGAATGCGCCTAGACAAGGGCTATTTGCTAGCCTATTAATTGTAAGTTTTGCTTTACATACCTTTTTATTGGTATTGGCAACGACTCATCAACTGAATGAAAACCGTGCCAACCAAGGTCAACTGATGACCTCTCAATTGGTCACAGACAGTCTTGCAGAGCTGGAGCCTGCCAACACGGTTTCACTTGCGCTTTTGGTCGATCGCTATGCGACCAACCCAAGCGTAGCTTCCATTCGCATTTTGGATGCCAACAATCAAGTCTTGGCGACAGGTGGCCAAGTTCGAACACGTGATGGTGAAGTATTTGTCCGTGATGCGCTGCAAAATGAAAAGAAAGTGGGTAGCATTGAAATCACGCTCATTAAACCAAGTATGGGTGAGATTTTACGTACTCAGTGGTTAGCGATTTTATTGTCCTTAGCGATTCATGGTTTACTGTGGTTGGCTTATCGCGCCATTGCGCGCCCAAGTCGTACCGAATATTTGGCACGGATCAATAACGAATCCCGCTTAAAACACGAAATTCAAGTTTTAACCCAAACGCTTGAACAAGAGAAACACCATACGGCAGTCGCGATTGCCCAAGCACAACAACAAATCAAAACCAGTGCGAAGCCTAAAGAACAAAAACCCGTGATCGTGGATAATCATTCCGTTGCGCTCAATATTCAATTTTATGACCCGAAACAGTTGATGGACTCGGTGAATACAACCGTGTCTATTCCATACTTTAATTTGTGTCAGATTTTCCTCAATAAAAGCACAGAGCTTTGTTTAAAACACTACAAACTCAACAGCTCGGACATCACTACAGTTCAATCCTTTAATGAGCATGGTGCCACCCTCAGCATGTCGACAGACACACCTAATGCAGTGCCATGTTTAATGATGATCAGCAGTGTGTTCCAACTGCTATCTGAGGTTTTGTATAAACGTTACCGCGAAGAAAAGCGCTTTGTTTTGCAAACGCGTTGTGGCATTTCAACTGCAGTCGATGCAATGCAACTGTCTGCGAATCAAGCTGCTGAGCGTTTGGTCCAACAGTTATCGGCCAAAGAAAGTGCCGTACATTTAAGTAACGAATTATTGAAAGACATTTCTGAAAGTTACCAACTGGTGAATTTACCTAATCCAACCAATGTCTTGACCCGTCATGCCTTTATGGTCAATGGCATGGGTGCGGAGTCTGCAGAGTTGGCGCAAAGCTTAAGAACGGAAATTTTAAAAGCAAAACAATCTAAAGCCTCTTAATTAGGTCCAATCATAAAAAAAGCCTGACATGTGTCAGGCTTTTTTATGGCAACTGTTAAATTTTGAGTTGCTTCTGCGCAATTAAATGTTGCTGCGCACTATACCTTTGCTCTGGAACGGTACAGGCCACTTTAAGCCAATGCCCATCGGCTTGTAGCTCCCAAGCATTCAAACAATCATTTAAGTAGCTGATTAATCCGTCTTTATAAATCTGCTTTTTCAAAACGCGATCTAATATTGGAAAGCAGGTTTCAACACGCGAAAATAAATTACGTCCCATCCAGTCTGCGCTGGCACAGTATAGCTTTTTCTCACCGCCATGCTCAAAACAATACACGCGGGTATGTTCCAGAAAACGGCCCACAATCGAACGCACACGAATATTCTCAGACATGCCTTGGACCTGTGGAATCAAACAACAGATCGAACGGATAATCAGATCGACCTGTACCCCTGCTTGTGACGCACGATACAGTGCGGCAATTAACTGAGGTTCCGTTAAAGCATTGACTTTAATGATGATACGTGCCTTTTGACCGGCTTGTGCAAACTGAATTTCTTGCTCAATCAGTTTTAACAGTTCACTGTGTAACGTAAAAGGCGCATGTAACAACGCCTTCAATTTGGCCATTTTGCCCATCCCCGTCAGTTCTTGGAACATACGGTGTACATCTTCACAAATATCAGGCTGTGTGGTCATCAACCCATAGTCGGTATACATACGGGCATTGCCCGCATGATAATTGCCTGTGCCCAGATGGGCATAACGGATCAACTGAGCATTTTCACGGCGTACGATCAAAATCATTTTGGCATGGGTTTTATAACCGACAATGCCATACACCACCACCGCGCCCGCTTCTTGCAAAATATTGGCCACGGTAATATTCGACTCTTCATCAAAACGCGCCCGTAACTCAATCACTGCCGTGACTTCCTTACCATTTCGTGCTGCTTCTGCCAAGACCTGTACAATTTCAGAGTCGGGCCCACTGCGGTAGAGCGTTTGTTTAATCGCCAGCACATTCGGGTCTTTCGCTGCTTCTTTTAATAAACCAATCACAGGCTGAAAAGAATCAAAAGGATGATGCAATAACACATCCTGTGCTTTTAAGGTATCAAAGGTACTTTTTTGTTTACGCAAAACTTTGGGAATGACTGGGATAAAAACTGGATGCTTTAATTCAGGTCGGTCACAACTGGTACTGAGACGTGAAAGATTGATCGGCCCATCAATGCGATAAAGCTCCTGCTCAGTTAAATCAAACTCCTTGAGCAAATAATCAATCACCGCTTCGGGGCAATCATCTTCGATTTCTAAACGCACCGCGCGACCAAAACGGCGTGAAGACAACTCATCTTTCAGTGCCACCGCCAAATCATCAACATCTTCCGACAAAATCAGATCGGCATTACGCGTCACACGAAAAGCATAACAGCCCGTGGCTTTCATCCCCGGAAACAGATCGCTGATGTGCTGCTGAATCATTGCGGTTAAAAAAATCTGCGTGTCAATATTGCCTGCCACGTTTTTCGGCATCTGAATTAAACGCGGTAATGAGCGCGGCGCTGGGACAATCGCCATCTCAATGCTTCGTCCAAAAGCATCTTTACCTTGTAAACTCACAATGAAATTCAGACTTTTATTCACGAGGCGAGGAAAAGGGTGTGACGGATCTAAGCTGATTGGGGTCAAAACGGGTTGGATTTCTTTGGCGAAATATTCTGCAATCCACGCTTTATGTTTTTCTAAAATATCTTGGAACTGGATGAACTGAATGCCCTGCGCTTGTAACTCAGGCAAAATCGAATGATTTAAAACTTCAAACTGTTTTTTGACGGCACGATGAATGGATTGGGACAGGTCTTCTAATATCACTTCAGTGGGAACAGCATCAGGGGTCCGTGCTATCACATTCATATCGCGTTGTTTCATCAAGCCCGCAATACGAATTTCAAAAAACTCATCTAAATTACGTGAAAAAATAATTAAAAAAGTTAAACGCTCCAGCACTGGCAAACTCGGATCTAATGCTTGTGCTAAAACCCGCTGATGAAACTCAAATAACGATAGCTCTCGGTTAAAATACGTCGCCGATGAATGCTGAAAATTATCCATACCCTCTCAATGCTGTTTGCAACAGTCTGTTATGAAGTGTTTGGCAGGGATGTTAGGTAGTCTTTATGACAGTTTAGTTACAACCTCATGCCAAATAGAAAATTCATCCTGACTTTATGCTTAAAGCTGCAACAGCGTACAGTATTCAAACCGACATATGTTCCTTTTCACTTTTTTCCTTGGCAGTGGCGTCTGCTTTCGCGGCCCAATAGCTGGCTAAAATTGGCCCTGAAATGTTATGCCACAGACTAAAGATTGCACTGGGTACTGCCGTAATTGGCGAAGCGGCAAAATGCACAGCAGCCAAAGCCACGCCTAGTCCTGAGTTTTGCATACCGACCTCAATCGAGACCGCTTTACAGTCTGCATGTGGCAAGTGAAACATTCGTGCTGCTGCAAAGCCAAGTAAATAACCAATCGCGTTATGTAACGCCACCACAGCTAAAATCAATAAGCCTGATTCTAAAATTTGTGCTTTTGAGCCGCCAATAATCGCTGCCACAATCAGCACAATTGCGACCACTGAAATTAAGGGCATCACCGAAATATAACTTTCGACTTTCTGTTTCAGCACGGCGCGTATCACCAGCCCTAAAATAATCGGGAACAGAACCACCTGTAAAATTGAACTCAGCATCGACCATGCATTAATTTCAATCCATTGGCTGGCCAGCAGATAGAAAATCGCGGGAGTCAGAACAGGTGCCAATAAGGTCGATACCGTAGTACATGCGACAGACAAAGCCGTATTGCCTTTCGCCATATAAGTAATCACATTGGATGCAGTGCCACCCGGACAGCAACCCACCAAAATCACCCCGATCGCAATTTCAGTCGGCAAGCGAAACAATAAACACAACAGATAAGCCACGCTTGGCATCACCACAAACTGAGCTGCTACCCCAATTGCAACCGCTTTAGGGCTTTGCATCACCCCTTTAAAATCATCCAATGTCATGGTCATGCCCATACCAAACATGATCAGACCCAACATCCACGTGATATAAGCTTTCATCCAAACAAAAGTTTCAGGGCTCAGGAGCGCAATGCCTGCAAATAACACGACCCATAGAGCAAAGGTTTTTTGAATCCAAGCGGTAAATTTTAAAAAAGTGCCCATGACCTTTCCCTACTGCATGTTTTTATAATGTCGATATTGGTGATTGAGGTGAGCCGATTGGTTCAGCGCATCAGTTCACGGCATATTGTTGCACAATATCTTTGCAATACAGACGTTTCACACCATGGGCCAGCATCTCTTGCCATGCATGTTGTAAAGAACCATGTAAATCAATACCTTTGGTGGCATCGGCAATCACATAGGTTTGAAAACCGAGTTTACAGGCATCTATTGCCGTCCATGCCACACAAAAGTCAGTTGCAATCCCAACAATAAACACGGTATCAATCCCACGCTCTCTTAAATAGCCTGCGAGTCCCGTTTGGGTCTTGTGATCCGCTTCTAAAAAAGCAGAATAACTATCAATGTGCGCATGACATCCTTTACGAATGATCAACTGCGCTTTGGCAAGATCGAGATCGGGATGCAATTC